AAAAATAAAGAATTAGAAAAAACAAACATATCTATTAATAATGAATTGCAAGAAAGAATTAACAATCTAAATTTATTAAGACAAGAATTCGATTCGTTCAAGAAATCGATCGAGGAGCAAAAAAAGATCGATACTTTGGTAATAGAAATTTGCATGATGCTAAGCATAGATTCAGATAATAATTTATTAAAGATATACAATACTTTAGTATTGGATAGCAATACAAACTTAACAGACCAAAAGGAAATCATCAAATTGATATGTGACATTCTCGATATAAAATACCTAAAAAATAACGAGTATAAAAATCTTGTAAACATAAAAGAATCTATCAAGAAAAAAATATTTATAAATGAATAACTTTATTGGCCTAAAGCCAAACTAGATATTTAATTGATGTTTCTCAATAATTCTAGTTAACTTATATAAAAATCGTTTAGAATCAACATCTTTCAATGTATTTAATCTCTCTATAAATTTTTTCACATGATCATTTTCTTTGATATCTTTATACTTATTATTAATCAATTGGTTAACTGATGGTAAATATATTTCACGAATTTTCTTCTGACAAATTTTAGCATAATCATTTTGATTTTTGTAAGGTACATCTTCAAAAGATAATTTATACACATCTAACTGCTCTAAATTCTCTTTAAAAAAAATATTAATAAATTCTGTTTCTGAGGTAGGTAATTCAGGTTGTTTTACTACAACTACCGAATCCCGATAACTATTAATAATTTCTTCTCGTAACCTAATATCTTGATTCATCTTTCTTTTATTATATTTATTTATTCGACTACTATTCATATTTATATTTTTTAATTAATAATTTTTCAATAATTTATTTGTAATTACCAATTATTATAGATTTTTAATTAGTTTTGACTCGATCATTGAATAAAATAAAAATTTTATTATAATATTTTATTTTAAAAAAATATACATTTTAAAATAAAAAAAAATAAAATTTAAAAAAAATTAAAAAAAATTATTTTTTAAAAATTTCTCCCGACTCGTATTTATCTAACAATTCAATATTTCTATTGATTAATTTTTGATTCTTAATTTTAAGTTCATTCAAATCTCTTTCTAGTTTTTTAATATT